AAGAGGGCTCCCAAGGGGCCCCGAACTTGCGGCCACATTTGGTCCTTCCCAGACAACGCCAATCTAGCAGCCTCAAGGCCATGCTCAAGTACATGGCATGGCACGCGCGACGCCCAAAGAACAGAGCTGAAAGCTTTGATAGGCTCCAGAGTAGCCCTCCAAATCGGGTCGTAGTTGGCCTGCGGCGCAAGCGCGAGAGCGAGAGTGCGGCTCTTGCCGCTGGTCTTGGCGTCGAGCGCCGCAGCGGCCTGGGATCGCAACACGTCCAGCTCCTTAGAGGCAGTACCCTGAACAGAGGTCCCAAAAGCAACCGAAGTCTCCAGGGCAGCCCTGGCCATGATGGCCATGGTTTTCCGCCTGGCCATACCTCCCTGGAGATGTTTCATTCTCTTGAGCTTGGGTTTGGCGACCTTGATTCTGCCCGTCCTGGTGGCCCTCCTGAGAAACCGACCTGAACTGTAGTCAACCCCCAAGTTGCGCTCATGGTTCACGCCCTGGGCCCTGAGGGATACCAGCCTCCTGGACAGCTGGTCACGTAAATCAGAGTCACTAGCAAGAACTCGCGTCTTGTCAAGAGCGAGCCGTAGATCCGCACGCTGCAGCTCGCACTGAAGCTTCACTCCAGCACCAGCTACATCAGCAACTACTCGGCCGTGTTCCCCCGATCTCTGCAACGCAAAATCGTCGACAACCACGGAAAGACAGATGGCCCGAAACTCTTTCTGAACAACATCCAGGGGGCCCAACAAAACCAGTTGCAGCAAAACGGTAGCAAAACCACACCCAGGGATAATCGTAGTTTCCGCCGTGATGTGATTACTGACGGTCCCTTGGAGATCAAGCAGGCGGGGCGACCGATAGACTTGCACCAGCAAACGCAGTTGCCACAACGGAAATCCAGTGCGAGCGGCCGCCTGGACAAGATGATGATGCTTGACCAGTTCAAACGCTTTCTTCAAATCGAGCAGCAACGTGGCAGATGACAGGCCCTTGGACTGATAATACTCCGCCCACACTGCCTGAATGTAAACACACATGTCAGCGCTTTTCCCTTTAGTACCCCACCAGAAACTCCGATAGTTCTTGACTTGCCATTGCCTGATCAAAGGCCTTCTCAGCCTGGACTGCACCCGACAGAGAACGTGTAGCAGCCCCAAGGGTCGGACTCCTCCCAATCTTTTGAGAATAAAAACAATCTTGTTCGTGAGGGGAGGCCAGTCCGCCTGCTCCTCAATCTTCCCGATGAGGCCGCACAAAAGCTCGAGCGCAACGTCGGGCAAGTGCAGAAAACTCCTAGGCGGGACCTGGTCGTATCCACAACCAGTGCCTATCGGGAAAGACATCAACACTTTCTTGAGCTCTGGGACCGTGGGGGGAGGCGGGCGCTCTCCGAGATCCTTTGGCCAGTGCACGGGGGGCTGCGCGACCCCCACCTGCCACCACTTGCTCCACTCCCTTTCAAGCTCATCCATTTCCCCCATGCTGGAGTTAGGACGGAGGGCGAAGGAGTCGAGGGTGGACGGCTGCCAAGGGTCAGGCAGCTGCACATACTTGAAGAGCGCCGCAGCCCCACCTACCGAGTGCGTTTTCACCCATCGGTCCCAGTTGACTATCTTCAGCTGGGTTGCCTGCTTGTGCAGGCGCTCGGCAGTGTCGCTGGCGACGGCGGCGAAATAGTCCATGACTACGTAATCAAAGACGTGAAACCAATCAAGGGCCTCCAGGAAACAGACCGCGAGATTCGAATCTGGAATATCAGGCGAGCTCTGAAGATGTCGGATCCTGCACCGCACTTGCTTGGTCTGGGCAACGCTGATGGGCCTCGTGAGGGTCTTGAGGACCTGGGCCAAGGCTCTCCACCACACAGCTTGAGGGCTCAGACGTGGAAACGGAACTGGAGCAGGCCGGCTCGGTCGACACCACCCAGTACGAACAGCACCACCACGCCCAAGGTACGGTTTCGAAAGCTCAGCAGGAATCTGAAACACCTCTAACCATTCAAGCTCGGCAGCCGAGACGAAAACTTGCCACGACTTAGATATGCAAGCATTGCTCATCATCTCCGAAACCACCTCCCACCTGGCTAGGTTGGGCTCTCCACGGCAACCGATGGGCAACTCTCTGGGGAACCTGCGGGGAACCATAGCCATGCGCACCGAGGGTACAGTGTCCAAGGTGGGTAACTTCAACTTAACTGGAATATGCGGAGTGATCTCCACTTCTGCCAACAGTGAGACCGAGGCGTTCGCCGCAAACGCCTGGGAGACCACGAAAAAGTCGATGGTCCTGTGCGCTGGAGCACATGTTCCAGCATCCGTGTATATGGCAGCACCGTCGATTGCATCAATCCAGCCTGAATGCTGGAGCACGTCGGGCTCGAGATTAAAGTCCCCGAAGATGAGGAAAGGCATGTTGGCCATTTTCAGCAGCGCGCCTAGCCTGCAGAGAAGATCCCAGTTGGCTGGCGCAAGTCCGACAGAATGATGCAGATAGAGCGTGCACGCTAGGAAACCCCCAGGTACGAGACCTCCCACATGCATAACCATCATCCTCCCCACCTGCACGTCGATCGGAAAGCTCTCAATCGGCGCCAGGCCGATATGCTTTGGCACAGCAAGCATAATGCCAGCAGATGTGCCGCCTCCAGCCGTCTGACGGGCTGGCGAAAGTTTGGCTCTCCACCCTTGTCGCCTGAGTTTATGCTCGCAAGCTTCAACCTCCAACACCCGCGTTTCCTGCACACCGACAAGCTGAGCCTGGAGCACAGAGGGGGAGGAGGGGAAAATGTCAAGCCCAGAGCGATCAGTAACGTTGGCAGAGACAATATTCCAAAACCTCGGGGCCTTTGGCCCCATTGCGCATCTAGCCGCACGGCTAAAGGCGCTTGCGTTTGAAATCAGCACCGGCCTCATCAAGCGCAGCCTCCAGCTGCGATCGAGTGATGCCGCTCTCACCTGCAGAGCTGACGAGCTTGTCCATCCAGTCGCCCTGCTTGAGGTTGCCGATGGCTGCATCCATGTCGAGGTCGTGATCACCTGCAGCGTCGCTGGAATCAGCAGCAGCACCACCAGCGTCACGCTCACGAAGACGATCTGCCTCCTCAGCACGAGCTTTAGCAGCCGCCGCTTCCTCCTCATCCTTCTTGGCCTTCTGGCGGGCCTCCGCGACCTGCTTGATCGAGTCGACCACGCCCGCCTCGACACCCAGCTCACGCAGCTGCTCCACAAGGTAAGCAGCATGGTCAGCAGGCTGAGGCCTGGAGGCACGCCCGAGCTCGGAGAAGGCGCTGGCAGCAGCGCGGGCCGCCTCGAGCTCCTTGGCCTCGAGCTCCATGAACTTCGCCTTGAGCTCCGCCGTCTTCTGCAGCTGCTTGGCCAGCACCTCCTGAGACTTCTCCCAGGCGTTCTTGGCCTTGGCGACCTGATCTTTGAGCGTGTCGTGCTGCTGCTTGGCCTGTCGACTGAGGGCCAGCGGGTCGCCTGTCTGCACGGCACGCAGCCCCAGCAAGTGCGCCTTCTGACCAGGCGACAGCCAGATGCTGCAGGCCTCGAAGTGCTCAGCGGACATGGCAAGCAATGCGTCCTTGCGCTCAGGGGTGAGCTTGCCGCCGCTTGCGCCAGGCCCTTGCCCAGCACCAGGTGAGCCACCTTGTGGCTGCAGCCGAGGAGGACGAACCCAAGCACCAGCAGGAGGGCGTGGCACCGCCGGTGCAGGGACCGCTCCTTTGGGCTTGCCACACGCCCAGCACGTCGTACGCCATGGGAAATTGTTGCCGAAGCCGCACTTCTTGTTGCAGCAGGTCCAGGTCGCACTGAACGCCTGCTGCCTGCCGCCGCCATTGCGCCCCATGGGAACTGACGGCCGCAGAACTTACAGTAGCCAGACTGTAGGCCCCCTCCCTCCCTCCCTCCCTCTGGGTGTACTGCAATTGCTCCTGTCCTCCTTCTCTTCCTCGTCCACAATATCCTCGTAAGTCTCCTCCCACGTAAAATTCGCCTGAAAATGAGTGAGGGCATGTTCCGTCAAAGCCTCCTCCTGCTTCTGCGCATCGTCGTCCACATCCCTCCTCCCTCATATCCCGCTTCCTCATGCGTTCCTCTTCCGCTTACTCCTCCGACTGTTCCACTGCATGTTCCTACACTTCCCTGATCAAGGCACCTGGCCTGGACATCGTTTCTGGAAGGGCTTCCGGGGTTACGCGAAGCGGCAAGATGTACACAATAGAAATCCCAGCATGCGTTCGTATGAATCTCCTACGCCTGATGAGTCCTCTTCCCTCCCATGTTTTACCACTTCGGTTGCTCATCCCTTGTCCTTCACACTCTCCCCTTTCCACCTCCCCGGCCGAACCCCCCTAACACGCACAACCATATATCAGATGACTCGTGCACGCCTGCAGGGCCTGAATCCTCAACTGTCGGCTCCAAACAAGCTGCATCTGTCCAAGCCCCCCAGTTGCGATTTGCCCAGACCTCGGGGTCTCTGACTCCAACAGAATGGTGCTTAACTGGTATGAGGTGCAACGTGAAGGGGAGACCGGCTCAGGGGAGGTTACCTCGACTTGGAATCGGCGATACATCGCCAATCGATCGGCGACAGGCCCCCCATGGCAAATCCGCATGGTCCTGGGCGGGGTGGCGTTTCGGGTCCATCTCGGCAAAGCGTTGGCGATTCGGAGGTCGATACATCCCCCCCTGAGCCTACCCCCCGAACGTTGCTTCATACAAAGCATCCAGATAGTAAGCACATCAAGAAGCACGCGACAAGCAAGAGTCAGACAATAAGCATAAATGCAAGGCAATCGAATTTACCTGCACTATGCGAAGCATAAAAGCTCGGTACCGCAAGCAACAGCTCAGGCAAGAGAACCTATGCCAGACAAGAGCACTTTGTCTGAGCAGCAGCTGCAGAAGAAAGTTCTGGAGTGGCGTACGCGTGCAACTGCCAGCTTGGCCAGAGGCTGGATCGAATAGGAAGAATGGTTATGCATGCCGCGTGTCCTCGGTAAGCACACTGTCGCCATCTGCGTTCATCGACGGCAGCGCGGACCAGGCACGGCCCATGCTGTCGTGGATCCACCCCCGCATGAACTCCTGCGCCCAAGGCTTGCTAGTTTGTATGGAAGCACCACGACCAGAGGGATCACCATCGACTCTCTCATGAGAAACCTGCACAGTGTCATTGGCCTGTCCGCCGGCCGGGAGTATCCGATGCAAACTCCCGCGAATCAGGACGAGAAAGCTCGCAAAATCCGCCACCGTGCCTTCGGCACGTAGAGGGGTGCCCCAAGGATCATGCAGCTCTGCGAGGTAAGAAGCTTGCTGTCCTTGAGAGCCCGGACCCCCGGTTTCCCAGGCGCTCCCGTGCGCTAAGGCGCCCCCTGGGGGGTGTATCGCCGAGGCTTATGGGACGCCAAGAGAGCTGCATGAGGACCCCAAGAGGCCTCCAAGACGGTCGAAGGAGGCCCCCGAGTCGTCGAGCAATCGGTCCGAGACGCCCAAGATAGCCCCCCAGTTGGCCGCAGGTGCCCCCAATACGCCCCAAGAGGCCTAGATGCATCCCAAGAGGGCCCGAAGAAGAACACAAACATGTGCATCGGGTTGTTGCAGATGTTGGCGTTTGTTTCCTTTCGGCTTCCCGACGTTGCAAGAAAGCCCAAGAGGCTGCAAGATCGCTTCTCTAGACGGCTTAAGAGGCCTCCAAGAGGGCTCTATCACGGCCGAACAGGGCTTCAAGGAGGCCCACGGGGTTTCCGAGACGGCCCAAGCGCCTTTCACAGAGGGGGCCCGGACGGGAGACCCGCATGGACATTTCGAGCATTCGGCCCCCAGGAACGCCCAGGAGGCTCCAAGAGGCCTCAAAGTGGCGCCCATATGAGCCCCAAGACGCCCCCAACCCCAAGACAGCCTCAGGAGGCCCACAAGAGGCCCCCCAGAGGCCCCCCAGAGGCCCCCAAGAGGCGCCCATGAGGCCCCAAGTGCCCCCCAGATGCTCCCGCGAGCGCCCCGAAGAGATTCCTGAAAGCAAAACTCAATCAAACCTCTCAAGAAAAACGCAAAGATTTAGTAAGTCGCCTCCGATATGGGGTCCAGACGGGGGACCCGAAGGAACATCTCGAACGCACGGCCCCCGGAAACCACCAGGAGGCCCAAACGGGCCACTAAGAGGCCAAGGCGCCTCCAAGAGAGGCCCCCTGAGAGAAACTGCGAACGAAATCTGCAAAACCGGCCCGACCCGGCAATGGGGGCGGTAGGACGGACGGACGGACGGACGGACGGACGCACGGATGATGATGATGATGATGATGATGATGATGATGATGACGATGATGATGACGATGATGATGACGATGATAATGATGATGATGGTGGTGGTGGTGATGATGATGATACGGACGATGATGATGATGATGATGATGATGATGGTGATGATGGTGATGATGATGGTTGTGATGATGTTGATCATGACGATGACGATGGTGATGCTGATGATGGTGATGATGATGATGGTGATGGTGATGGTGGTGGTGGTGGTGATGATGAGGATGAGGATTGTGATGGCGATGATGATGGTAGTGATGATGACGGTCGTGAAGACGATGGTGATGATGATGCTGATGATGACAAGGATTATGAGGAGGAGGGGATGCTGATGATGATGATGATGATGATGATGATGATGATGATGGTGGCGACGGTGACGGTGACGGTGATGATGGTGGTGCTGGTGATACTGGTGACGCTGACGATCATGGTGGTGATTAGTGGCGGTAGCGGTGATGAAGACGGTGATTGTGTTGTGTTCCCCCACCGCCCCGCGGCGCACCGCCGCCGCCCCCTCGGCGCACCAGCGACGGAGAGGTGCCGCCGACGCGGTGCAGGCTCTCGCTAATCCCGAACCTGCCACTGAGTATCGTGTAACCGACCCCCATCCTTAGCGGCCTGGCGACTTGCACCCCTGCTTAGATGGTGATATGGGTCGTTCCCTCAGGGTTTCGAGGGGTGTATCCCCGACTGGGGAGGTAATTTGGTGAGGGTCTTGAAGGGCATGAGGATGGGGATGGGGATCGGTTAAACGATCCCGAACCCCACGAGGGTGGCACAGCCTCGAAACCGATGGCCTCCGAAGACTGGAGGAGGCCGAACGTATGGGTTTCTGGTCCGAGGCCACGCGCAAACAGTTGCGGAGACGACCAAATCACACACCAGGCACCTGGAACCGAGATTGGCTTGCAAACGCGCTGGCAGAGCAGACAATGGCGATGCACCGCCTCGCCTTGTCACCTTTGAAAACCACTGCTCAGCCCGCAGGGCACGTGGTATCGAGTGCCAGGGGATCCATGCCAGAGAGTACCCGCATGACGTGTACCATGCGAGAGATGGTCAACACCGCCAACAGCAGCCCCCCCCCTCCACCGACAGCAGCGCCAAGATCAGGAAAAGCAGCCTCGCGACAAAGTTCTGAAGTCGAAAACTCCCCACTTCATGATGCTGATGATGATGCTGATGATGATGATGAGGATGATGAGGGTATGATAAGAAGATGACGATGCTGATGCTGATGCTGATGCTGATGCTGCTGATGATGCTGATGATGATGACGATGCTGATGATGATGGTGGTGATGATGTTGATGATGATGAAGATTCCGATGATGATGATGCTGATGATGCTGATGATGATGCTGCTGCTGCTGATGATGATGATGATGACGATTATGATGATGCTGATGATACTGATGATCCACGCGACTGGGGAGGTGTGGAGCCTGCCCCAAGACGCCCCCAACAGGCCCCCAGAGAGCCCCAAGTGGCTCCAAGAGGCTCCCCCGAGGCCCCCGAGAAGCTCCCAAAGTGCCCCCCCTCCTTCAGAGTCTCCAGCGAGCGCTCCGAAGGGACTCCACAAACCAGAGTTCGTTCAGCAATCTCAGGGTAAACGTGCATGTTGAGTGAATGCGTGTTCGTTCGTCGTCGCCGTGTCCACGACCGCCCACGTCCCCCCCCCTTAGATAGCCTCAAGGAGACCCACGGCCCCCCCCGAGCGATGCTGACCACCCCCCCAGGGGACTCCCAGACAACCCAGGAAGCCCCCCAAACACACGGAGATCGCTCGAAGGGATGTCGCCCACGAGCCAGGCACGGTGGCGGGATTGGCCGCTGACCACCAGGATATGAAGCATCCATCGGCAAGCGACTGGCATTACCTCCAGCCACCGCCCTGCTCACCGCCCAAGCTTGGACGATACCCCAGACAGCATCCGAACCACACGGCACAACATGATACGATGGGATAAAACTAGGACGTGCTCCCTCCCACGTCAGGAGCGCATTCTAGACTCCTAATATGAATTCATGGTCGCTTGTGGCCCTTCTGAGCCGCAAAGAAGACAATGTGAAATCACACTCGAAGCTGGAGGGGTAGGTCCTCACTGAAAATGGTAGATGCAGAAGGGACAGACCTACAAACCAGGGGGGTCGAACAGTCTTACGCCATACCTGGATGCGTGGCTGAAGTGCGATTCCGCCGAGCGCATTTTTGTTGTTGATTGTTGCGTTGCGAGGTTGATGTCGTCGTCGACCCCAACCCGCGACCAACCCCGCGACCCACCCGCGACCCACCCGCCACCCGCTCCGCGACGAACCCGCGACCCACCCCGCGACCCACTCCACGACCAATCCACGACCCAACCCGCGACACATACCGCGACGCACCCGCGACCCACCCGCGACCCACTCTGCGACCCACCCCGCGACCCACGCCTGCGGTGGGCTCGTTGCGCAATGGTTAAAAGAATCGGCACTTGCAGCGGGCTTCTGCAGAGTCTCGCAGACTGCCGACGACCCCTCCACCACATCAGGTTGCAAGCCAGGGGAGATATCTTTATCTTGGACGGGGCGGGGCCTCATGCTTCAGGTTCGGCGCATGTTGCTGGCTCCACTCTCCCGCGCATAAGCAGTGCCTGGTCGCAGATCCTCCTCAGAGAACGGGTGGAGCACAGGGGAGGGAATGGGCGTGAGGCCGCGGGTAGGCTGCCCTCTTCTGAGTGCCGTTCCCTTCTTTAGAGGCCTCCTAGATGGGGTCGGAGTAGATGGGGTCGGAGGACCGCGCCGCATCGGCGATACATCGGCGATGCATCGACGATGCATCTGCCATGCATCGACGATGCACCGGCGATGCATCCGCGACGTCGGCGGCTCATCGGCGACGTACCTTTAACATGAACTTTTGGCGCTCCGCGCAGATTTCTTGGGTCTGCGCTGGACCCCTCTCCCTGGCGCGCGGAGCGCTCCAACCGCCAGGAGGGGCCCATCGCTGACCCAAGAGATCCGCGCGGAGCGCCAAAAACTTATGTTCATGGCGTATTGTCTGCTTCGACTCTGGTGAGGGCCCTTCCCTTCTCTGTCTGCGGGGAGGGACCGGCACTCCTACAGGCCTACCACCACATGTTCTCAGAAGCCAAACATGCTCTGAGAACAAAAACAATGTTCTTAGACCATACGCCCGACGTGAGAAACCAAGACGGCCCCCGCCAGAAATGTTCTAAGAACATTTCGCTGGCACCACCAAAAAAAGGCTCTTAGAACAGTCTCTGGTGGACCTACGTAGAGGGCAACATATCCACTTCTAGAAGAATCGCCCCGACAAGCAAGGCCGTTCACAAAACGCCCCCACGGAAGGAACCGAACAGGGCTCGGGAGCGGCCAAGAGGGGGGTGTCCAAGAGGGGGGGGTGCAAATCATGACCGGCGGCACGTGCGCGGCCCAGCGGGGGGGGCAGGGACGTAATTAAATAAGAAGGGGCGCCATGAAATCAGTGGAAATATCGCGGCTCCCGCCATGATATCCACCCCCCCCCTAGTCATCACCCCCCTCTTTTCCGCCCCCGAAAGGCGAGGCTGTTTAGCAAACGACCAAAAGCCGTTTATGAAACGCCAATGGTCCGGTCCGGGTGGTTTTCCCTCCCTTCGGCGGTGCACAAACATCCCTTCATTAAACCTCCCCTTAGTGAAAACGGCCTGGGACCGAAACCGACGGACCTGGACCCGCAAAAATGACGGCCGCGACGCCCTCTCGCGAACCGACAACGGCCAACTC